ATATAAAAATAAATATTGAAAATATAAATATAAATTATAGAAATAATTATTAAATAATACTTTATGTAGTTAATAAAGGAATAATGGATGTTATGGGATTAAATACTTGATTATATAATTGTATAATATTATTATTCTTGAGTTAATGAAATTAATTATAAACTATTATAAAACCTGGACTTGGAATAATAATTAACCTGAATAATTAGAAATAATATTTAAAGTTAATGAAATTAAAAGATGATTAATGGATGAAGATTAATATTAAGAATAATGATGAACTTGAAAAGATATTGGAATAAATTAGATGAAAGGTCTGATTCCCTTTCTAAAATAACTGAATCAGTGGTGTCTTCTAAAATAATGAAACAATAGTCTTACTTTTGGGAAAAGACTATAAACTCTTTAAAAGAACTGTTAAGTCACTTAACTAGGTAGTTCTTGAGAAAACCAGGAACCACCAGTGACACTGGCTGTAGTTAATTGATATAGTGTTTAAAGTCTATAAATACAATTTTCACTACTAGTCGCTTAGTTTTCTTTAGTTTTTTTAGAAGGTAAACCAAGGTTAACAATGCGAATATATTTGAAAAATATATCTGAATAAATTCGAATCACACGGATATATATGAATATATTTGAAAAATGTATTTGGATAAATTCGAATACACGAATATATATGAATATATTTGAAAAAATGTATTCAGATAAAATTTGAATATATGAATATATGCAAATATATTCGAAAATGTATCTGGATAAATTCAAATAAACGATGATATGTGAATATATTTACATATTTATCTGAATAAATTCGAATATTTAATGTGAATAAATATGTGAGTGGTCAAATATATCCGGATATATTTGCTATTAAAAATTTCCTGATGTATTATAATATTATAAACAATTAATTGATTACAAATGATTAATCAATTATAATGATTAATTGATTACAAATAATTAACTGATTATTCATTATAATCAAATAATTATATTTAATAAAAATTATAATTGATTATTTGATTATTTGATTATTTGATTATAATTGATTATGATTATATCAATTTTGATTACTAACTAGAACTCTATATAATTCTAGATGTAGATGTGGTGTTTATAAATTTTTGATTAGTGAATAAATATATAATATAATAATAAAATAAAATAAAAATAAATAAAATAAAATAATATAACAACAGCAAAAATCATATATAACAATATTATAATAATAATTAATTAGATCAAATATTAATTTAAATAAAATTTAACTGAAATAAATTATAATGATTAAATATATTTTACTTGATTTATATTTTAAACCAGATAAAACCAGATAAAATTAAATGAAATTGAATAAAATTAGATGAAATTTTTTTTTTAAAAATTATTTATTTTCACCTGGATATCTGATTTTAAAATTATTTAAATATTTAGTTTTCTAATAGAAACTTAATTTCAATTTTTAGTTGTGACTTATGTTAATGTAACAAAAGTTCTAATCAATAATCTACTAGACTTCTATAACTTTTAGAAATTCCTGCATATCAATGGGATTATATTAACTTAGATTTTATTGTTTAATTATCAAAAATTAAAAAAGGATATAATACAATTATTATATTTGTAGAAAAATTATTTTAACAAGTTTACTTTTATCCTATTCAAACTAATGTAACTTTACTCAAGATTGCTAATATATTTTTCTCAACTATATTTAAAAATCATAATTATATATATTTTCAAAATTGATTTTTGATTTTTGAAATATTTTGTTTTTTTGAAATTTATACAAAATTTATTTTATATTTGGAAGTAAAAAAATATCTAGTTAAGTATATCTTTAATCAAAGAATTTATCTGGATAATCAAAAAATTTTCCAAAATTACAATTTCGGGATTCCAAAATAATTTTGTATACATGACTATATGAAATTGTTAAATCACACCAGTGGTATTCAACACCAGTCCAATAAAAATAAAAGAGAACTCTTATCCTAGACCCCCGAATCGCCGAATTTTATTGGACCATAATATGGCAGGTGATCGAAATATATCATGTGCAAGGCTTACGTAAGCAATTTTCGGTGACAAATATCTGGTGACAATTAGGGTTTCCCATGAGAATATTTAATAAAAATTGATATTCGAAGGGCGTGACACACGGTGATAAATACTCTGCCCCTGACAAACCCTAACCTTAACCCATGCATTTGGAAGGATGAAAATAAAGTTGAAACTGGAAAATTATCCGTGGAAGATATATACTGTAGCTTAGATAAATTATATTGATAATAAGATAATTGTACGTACTGAACAAAACTTTAAGGGAATATTGGTCATCTCGAAAATTTACTATCCCACAAACTCTTATTTACTATTTTTTACAGATACCGAAAATTAAAAAATTCCGACAAAAAGTTGTATTAACCTTTAATGGTAAAGATCTCTGTCACATGAAGAAAAATTATCCGATATTAGATTTGGTAGTCATTTAAGGCCTAAAATTTATTTATTTAATGATTCATTTAATTAATTTCAATTTACACAAATTCAATTAAGCACGTGCACTATTTTCAATCTAATAATTTATTTAAACGTACTGTACAAATATACAAAATTTACAATTTCTCACTACCGATGAAATTTTTTATTATATTATTTGAGAATTTAATCAACATATAGTTACAATACGTACAAGAAAAATAAGTACAAATAAACAATATTCGATTTAAAATCTTAATGGAAATTCTTTCTTCATTGTCCCAGCCAATAAAAAAAAAAAAATTCCAAAAGTTAAATATTAATTTTTTTGTTTAAATCTTCAATGATCTTCACAATCTCATAATCTTTTCATAAAATAATCTTCATACATAATCTCAAACAAATTTGAATATTTGAATAAAAAAATTGAATAAAAATAGGAATAAAAATTTGAATAGTAGTTATCCTTTGAATAAAATTTTCATCTGCAATTCTCTTCATATGAATTATTTTAAATATAAATTATTACTAGAATTACTGATAGTAATGCAAAAAAAAAAAAATCAAGCAAATTAGAAAAATGAGAAAGGGGGGAAGGAAGGAAGGAAGGAATGAAAGGAAGGAATGAGAGGAAGGAAGGAGAAGGAAGGGGAGAAAGGAAGGAAGGAAGTAAGATAATTCAGCTTTTTGCTACTTGCTCCTGATTTAATACGGGAGAATGGACATTCATTGGAGGTAATGCAGGAATGGGAGACCGTGCCAAAGGTTGATCAACGGGTGAAGCGATTTGTGATTGACGTCGATGTGACGAAGAAGAAGAAGAGGGAGCAGCTTGATGTTTTAATTGTTCACGATTTTGATGATGATGATGGTGATGATTATTATGGTGATGATGTTGACTAGAAGAAGAAGAAGTAGAAGGTGATGATGAATTATGAGGAACTACTGGCACACTCGCACTTCTTGGTTTCAATACAGTCATAAATTTCTTTGCTGGATTTTCCTGATTCCTTTGCACCTTTTGTCTCAAAGCTTCCATTACATATTCATGATTAACTTCTGATTCAGAATTAAGTTTAGTTCGCTTATTATTATTATTTATATTTGTGGGACTTTGAGAATAATGATGATGTGAATGAGTTGTTGATGATGCAGAATGTGGTGGATGATGCTCTTGTACGCTACTTGTGGGAGTAGAGAATGGATGTTGATTATGAATGGCAGTGGGGGAAGCCGTTATAATTGGAAAAGATGGGATAGAGAGTGTTAGAGAAGGCCTTTGATTATAAGAATGGGATTGTGAAGAAATCCCATTATTATTAAATGATACATTTTCATGTTGTCCACTACTGTTGTTATTATTGGCAGATGACGGAGGTGATAATCGTGTTGCACTCGTTGGTGTAGTAGCTGGAAAATGTGAATCTATGAATTAAAGATATTTATAAGTTGACGTGATAAACTTTAATTAAAACTTTATATATTATTTTTATACACATATATAAATATATAAATATATATATATATATTGCTGAATTACTAAACTTAACTGGGGGAAAAATTACCGTCAAGTGATTAAAATGTTTATGATTAAAGTTATTATAATTTAGAATAATGATTTAAAATTACAATTTAGAATTATGATTTAGAATTATAATTTAGAGTTATAATTTAGAGTTATGGTTTATGATTAAGGTGATTAAGGTAATTAAGGTGATTAAAGGTTATTATTAAGAGGGAATTATGTAATTTTGCCTACCGGTGATCTTTCTCCCCAGTGAAGATTAACAATAACACTCTATCCATTAATAATAATATATATTAATATTATTTTTTATTTAAATATTAAAGAAATGCTACAAACCAATTGGTGGCGGTATTGATAAATATGGACTATGAATATCCGAAGGAGATTTTCTAAAAAAAAAAAGATTTTTTTTTTTAATTTATATATTATTTAATAACGCAACCAAAAACAATCTTGTATATCTTGATTCTTACACGTTAAAACTAGAAGAGGTATTCATCGCTATACATTTGAATATAGAGAAGAAATAGATATATAGAGATAAATATATGTAAAGAAATGGATAGATATATTATAAAGTAATAAGTAAAATTTATGTTCACTTACGTGGTACTCCGGTAAAAATGGTATGAGGCTTCTTTTGTTCTTTTAACATCTCTAATTCCACTTGTTTACATTGCAAACGAACGGTTTCCACTTTATATTTTTCTTCTTCGGCATGCCTCTATATTATTAAGAAAAAACATAAGGTTATGGTTAAAAATTTATTTATAATTTATAGAATTTATAGAATTTATAGAAACTATAGATCTAATTTTTTTGTAACCGTGTGAAAAAAAGATAAAAAAGAATAAAAAAAGAATAGAGGGAAAAACTGAGGAAAAAGAGAAAGTGGGAATTGACCTAATGCAAATTTCAAGAAATTTTTTTTAAACACTAAAATGTTTAAAATGTTAATAGGCTTAAAGTATTTAAATTTATAAAATTCTAAATTTCTAACCTTATCTTCTTCGGCTTTTGCAGCGAGAATTTGTTTCAATAGATCATTATCGTCACGATAATTTTCCAATATCTCACGAAGAGATATATCACTTCTTGGTATTTTGGTAGCTGGTGAAGGGTAAGAAAAAGCTGATTGACGACTTAATTCTGACATTATTTTTATTTAACCAAGTTATACATAAAAAAAGGAAATAATTTATATATAATCCAAAATAAAAAAAAAAGAGGAAACAAAATATAAGGAAAAAAAAAATTTAAACGTTCTGTAATTTTATATGTATTTCATCTTTCGACCCAGAAATAGAGCACAAAACTACTATTACAGAAGGCCTCAACTTCACATACATATTACAATTATTACTTTGAATAAATTGAATTGAATGGAATACATTTTGACAAATGAAAATTTTTGTGTTACAATATATGCATAAAGTCAGTCAGGTATTAGTTTCTTTACTTTTAAAGCATTTCATTAGATAATTTTAGATGATAATTATAAATTTTTATAATTAAATTTAAATTATCAAAAGGGGGAAAAGAGATTTATACGTGATTTAAGATTGTCATATTGTCACATATTCACACGTGATAAACTTTCAATAAACTATATAATTTATCGTCCCCGCGTTTTTTTTTTCAGTTTTAACTTAATAAATGCATCTCGCAAAACCCAGTTGGCTTGCTCATTCGGGTTGGTATTTCATATTTTCTTCCTTTTTAATCCTTTAAAGTATATCCCGAATATATCCAGGATTCGTCGTTCTCATTTTGTTTCAGACGATAAAAATCAAAGGACCTCAATTTTCTCGATCCACGTTCACCCTGACGGTACACGATTGGCAACTGGTGGACTAGGTACGTGTTTATATTTTTAGAAGAGTTTAACTTAATTTTTTTATTGATACTTTAAATAGTTAAGAACTAGTTATTAGTGTTGCGCGTTGATTTATTCTTGAAGAAGTTTTTAGATCTTAAAAAGTTAACTAATTTGTATTCATTTGATCTATATTTGTTCTATGTCGATCTATATTCATTTATATTTGATCCATATTCTTATATATTTGCTCTATATTCATATTCATAACAAAACAAAACAAAAAAAAAAACCGAATAAAAATCAAAACAACTAAAACAATTAGATAATAAAATAAAAATATGGAGTACTGCGAGTATAGTAAATATGAATTCACCCGATCAAAACTTACAATATTTGTTATGTACCCTCGGTTTACATAATGGTTCGTATTATTTAATTTTTATAAATTTTAAAATCGCGTTTTATTTAAAATTTAGAATATTCATGATTTTATGTAATTCACATAATTCATATAATTCAAATATATCATCTTTCCATTAGGACCAGTTCTTTGTGTTAGATGGTCAAATAATGAAGGAATATATTTAGCTTCGGGTTCTGATGATCAACTCGTATTAATATGGCAATGGGACAAGTATATATTTATGAATTATAGAATTTATGGATATTTGTTTTGTTAATTAATAATAATGATAAATTTTATTTTTATTATTATTATTTTTTTTTTTTTTTTAAAAAAAAAAATCAAAATTATTACTTGTTTTTTTTTTTTAGATCTAGCGAAGGGTGGGCAGGCGGAAGTGTTTTTGGGAGCGCTGAACAAAATATTGAAAATTGGAAACCCGTAAAACGACTCACTGGACATCAATCAGGTAATTGACGAGAGTTAAATATTAAATTTATTGAATTATATCAAATTGAATTAAATTGTATTAAATTTATTAATTTTACGCGTTAATATTTCATTAATTTCATCATTTATTACTTTCATTAGATGTTGTTGACCTGAGTTGGTCGAAGGATAATACTTATTTGGCTTCATGTGGTTTAGACAGTTTAGTGTTCATATGGGACGGTAAAACTTTCGGTAAGAAATATCGGTCATGTTCGATATATTCAATTATTCATAATTTTTTTTTTGTTAAGTTATCCGAGGTGGTTACTTATCTTTACTTAACATTCGTTTCCTATCGTTATGATTTCAGAAAAACTACATAAATTAGATAAACATGCGGGTTTCGTTAAAGGAGTCACCTGGGATCCTGTAGGAGAATATCTTGCTACTGAGGTAATTTTGGTAATTTTGATTTAATATAAATATTGATAATAATTAATTATTTTTAAATAATTTCGTAGTCGGATGATAAAACGGTAAGGATTTGGGAAACCACCAGTTGGACTGTTCAAGCTACTATTTCCGATCCTTATACGAGTTCTCCAACAACAACGTTTTATCGTAGATTAAGGTATTTACATTTTATATTGAGATTTCTTTATTATTATTATTATTATTATTATTTCATTATCTTTAATTTCATTTCAAATTAATTAATTAGTTGGTCACCTGATGGGTCTCACGTTGCAACAGCAAATGGAGCTCAAGGTCCAATACCCATTGCAGCTATATTTAATCGTGGTAAATGGCAAACAGATGTATCTTTAGTAGGACATGAATCTGCTATAGAAGTTGTGGTAAGTTATTAAATAATATTTTCTCATTCATAACACATTTAAGCATTTACACATTTTGAAGTATTATTCTAATAAATTTTATTTTAATCTTTAAATTATTTAATCATCTATATCACATTATTTTATCTTTAATTATTTAAGTCTTTCAACCCAGTTTTGTTTATGATCCCCGAAAGTGATGATGCGGATCCAAGTTCTGCAACATTGGGTAGCATTTGTGCAGTCGGAAGTCAGGATCATAGCATTTCAGTATGGGTAACAAGAAATGCCAGGCCACTTTTCGTATGTCAAAAACCTTTTGAACATAGTGTTTTGGATTTGGCGTGGTATTTATATTTAGATTAATTATATTTCATTATACTTCATTATACTTAATTTAAGCTTTTATATTTAGTTTTTATTTACTTTATTTTTTTTTAGGTCACCAGATGGAACACACCTTTATGCGTGTTCTTATGATGGAACTGTGGTTGTTCTTCAGTTCCTTAATAATGAATTCGGTGAACGAGTTGCAAATGAAGAAATTGTAATTATTAATTTATTATTATAATTTCCTTTTATTTTTTTTTTTTTTGACATAAATTAATTTATTATATATATTTTAATATTAGGAAAAACTTTTAATGAAATACGGATTCAGATCGAAAGATCCAATTTTAATCGAAAATCAAACCCAACTTAGTTTCGAAAGTGAATACGCCATTACTAGAAATAAAAATAGTAATGAAATACCTTCTTCTGATAATAATGCGTCATCCGCCGTTATACCTATGGAAACTTCAGTTTCAGAAACGGAATTGGAACCCATAATATATGTTCCGCCGAGGATGAAATCACCATCCCCATCTACTTCAACCAATATTCCACTTGAATCGTCGTCAAGTGAGAAACTACAACAAAATGATAAAAATGATAAAAGTGATAAAAATGATAAAAGTGATAATATTGATAAAAGTGATAAAAATGATCAAGATGCTAGAAATGACCAAAATACTCAGGATTCCCAGAATTCCCAGAATATCCAGAATGCTCAAAATGCTGAGAATTCTCAGAATTCTCAGAATGCTCAGAATGTTCAGAATGGATCAATTTCAACGAATAATTTTGATTCTTCTTCTTTTAATAATTCTACTACTAATGTTACTAATGTTGAAAATAGTCGGCCGACTGTTGTAATCTCAATTAGACAAGATGGTAAAAAACGTATTCAACCTCGTCATTTAGGTTTAGGAAGGTGAGGATTGTTTATTTAAATTTTCAAGTATTCTTTTTTTTTTTGTTTACATTTTTGTTTATAATTTTTGTTTATATTTTCTTTGTTTATATTTTTTTTTTGTTTGTGTTTTTGTTTACATTTTTGTTTATATATATATATATATATTGTTTATATATTTTTTTTTGTTTATATATATATATTATATTTTTGTTTTATTTATAGTCTTACTTCAACTCTACAATCAACACGACAAGATGGCACTAATCAAATGGTTTGAATATTATATATTATTTATATATCTTATATATCATTTTTTTTATAAATATTTTTATAGTGATAAATAAATTATATTTATTTTAGAATATTTCATCATCATCATCATCATCATCAAATTCAATCCATTCAAATTCAGTCCATTCAATAACAACAACAGCAACAACAGTATCCGAGGAAGGAGTGAGTGGAGAAATGGAAGCACCATCACGAGCACTTCCACTTGGAGGAGTTAATGTATTAATGATTGGAAATAAACGTAAAGATTCAGATACTTCGGACAGTGCTACAGGTGGTAGTGGTGGTGGAGTAGGTGGAGTAGGTGGTGGAGGTGGAGGAACAACATCAAATAAACGACAAAATACAACAACTTCTTTAGAAAAACCAACACAATCAGAAATTGAGTCACATGTGTTAAGACCTTCTATAGTTAGTCCATCAATTTTAATGTCACAAATTCGATTGGCTTCTCATAAAGTTCGAGATTATTTAGCTAAAGATCGATTGGATGGGGCCACGTTGAAATTAGAATGTTTTAATTATCTCAATAACCGTAAGTAAATTATTTATTTATTCATTTATTTATTTATTTATTTATTTATTTATTATTTATTTATATTATTTATATTATTATTATTTATTTATTTATGTAAATTATTATTATTTTATCTTTTCTAGTTCCAACCAAACTAATATGCAGTCGAGGCAAAATTTCTATATGGTTTGACTTTTTGCCGAGTGCTATTATTCTCATGACAGGAAATGCACAATATTCTGCTGTGGCCTGTGAAGATGGAAGTATTTATACATATTCTAACGCAGGAAACAAGTAAGTAATAAGCAATTCGATATATATATATATATTCGATTTCTATGTTATATTTATATATTAATTAATTAATTGATATTATATTCAATTTAGAATAATACCGAATATTAGACTTGAGTCTACGGCATCCTTTCTAGAAATTTGTCGTGATTATTTGTTGTGCTTGACTCAAGTTGGTTTATTATCAGTCTGGTAAGTTGTTCATGTCGATCAATTTAATAAATATATTAATTTAATAAATTAATTATTTTGAAAATAAATTTTGATTAATAAATAAAAAAATAAATTTATTTATAATAAATATCTAGGGATTTACGAAATCGACAGGCTAAGATAGATTCCGTATCAATTGCACCTATATTATCATCAGCTTCATTATCATCAGATAGTCTTCAACATACAGTTTCAATTGTGACAGCATGTGTTCGTTCAAATGGAATTCCATTATTAATAACGAGTACATCAGATGCTTGGTGTTATCATACGGGAATGCGATGTTGGACATGCGTATATGATCCAAGATATACACTTCCTAATCCATCCAGACAAGAATCTATTGGGGATGTGACAGGAAATTACATATTATCGTCATTAGAAAATATGGCGAGACAACGTGGAGCAAATATTGGATCGTTAGCATATTTGAGAAGACCGGGTATAAGTAATGTAACAGCTCAATCACCAAATAATTTATTGGGATTTTTACAAAATCAACTTTTAGCTGCTGAATTAGTTAATTCCCCTTCAGAGTATAAACAATTATTATTAGCATATGCTCAACAATTGGCTGATGAAGGTGCTGAATCTAAATTACATGAATTATGTATTCAACTTCTTGGGCCAACTTATATGTATGTTCAATTATTATTATTATTATTATTATTATTATTATTATTATTATAATTAATTAATTATTATAAATTATTATTAATTATTATTATTAATTATTTTAATTGCTTTAATTAAATTTATAGTCCTGAGGGAATAAATGGTGTTCAGCCTCAATCTAATTGGGATCCTTTCTTATTGGTATTCTCTCTTTCTCTCTTTCCTATACAATTTCTCTCTTTATATTCTCTCATAATTAATAAATTATTATTAATTATTTTATAGGGAATGTCAAAACGACAATTATTAGATGAAGTTTTAAAGATACTATGTAAGTTTTTAATTGTTTATTTGTGAAACATTTTATTTATTTGCATATTATTGATATTATTGATTTTTTTTGATTTCTTTATTGATTCCACAGCGTCCAATAGAACTTTACAACGTCACGTTAGTGAATACAAAAATGCATTAAATACTATCCTTAATTTAGATTGAACTATCATTACTATTACTACTACTACTAAAAAGGTGAAATTTGTAAATTTGTTTGTTGTATTTTAATAAATTTGTGAATATTTTTTTTTTATTACGAAATTGTTATATTTTTGTTCGTTTGTTTTATTTGATTTGTTTGTTTGTTGTTTAATATTTGTATTACAAAAAAAAATTAAATTAACTTATTTAAAAACAAAATTTACTGCTATTTCAGTGAAATTGTTTTTTTTTTTTTTTTTTTTTTGGAAAATTTACCATTATCATAATAATAAAAACTAACAAACTACGATAAGTTCTGCTTCAATAAATCGATTTTTTCACAAGTTTTGGTTAATAATAAATGGCAATGATCTATATGCCTATATCCATATATCTCTTTTTTAACTATTAATGCAAAAGATATATATATATTTTGTGAAAAGTTGTAAATAATAATTTAATTGAAATTACATATTCATATTTGAAAAGGAATAATTAATTTTTGGAAGTTCTCTGTGATGGTTGTTCTATTTATAAATTTTTTTTAAACGTACAGATTATGAATTGAAAACATCAAATTTTGGATAAATGCAGCGCATTCACGTTTCTCATGTATTGAAGATCAGGTCAATTAGGAATTTTTCTTATATTATTCGTTAATTCCCCGAATGTTGGCCTGAGCTAATTGAATTAATTGAGTTAATTGACACTGTTTAAAGATTCCAAAAGGAATGTTAATGCATGTGTCGCATCGTTATACATTCGTATACATTGAATGAATTATATATTCATTATTTTATTTTACTTTATTAATATTATTTATATTATTCATATTATTCATATTATTTATATCTAATGACTTTTGACGAATCAGAAATTTATAAACTTTATTGAAGCGAATAACAGTTTGTATTATCTCATCACATTTATCCACCTTTTCTTTCTGTGGCTTCAATTTTTAAGTTTATTTATTCAATTACTCAATCTCTTGTTTTCTTGTGTAATTGAAATTTTATAAATATCTTGAAAATCTATCTCCTTTTTTTCCGTTTGTCAAACTTAAACTAAATAATTTGATAAATTTAATAATACCAAAGAAAGTATGTGAATTACAAATTTTCGAATCTATCTGCCTAAATCGAATGAAATAATGATTTATTAATTCATTCATCATCACGTATACACATATATATATATATATATATATATGCATTTTTAAAATTTTTTTTATTGAATTTTTATTTATTATTTTTAATTATTATTTTTATTATCGTCTTATTAAAATTTATAAATATAAAGTCGTTGAGATGACGCATGAATACATTGAAATGAGAACAAAATGGAAAGGACAAGACGCTTTATATCAAGAAATGGATCCCATTAGTTCTAATGTGTTTTCTTCAGTCATAAGAAGTAACTCTATTGATGATGATCAACCTACCGATAATGTAAATAAATATATTTTATTTTACAATTATATTTTCATTGCTAAATTTTTTACTGAATTTTTTATTATTTTTTTTAAAAAAAAGACCCCATTAATTCCCAAACCAAGAATAATTCATCTGAACAATAATAACAATATTATCAACAACTCATCATCATCGTCATACGATATGATAACGATTATATTATTCATTATCGTTGTAATTATGGGATTTACTATTTGGTGGTGTTATAGTGAAGATTTGTATATATTGTATAGAATTTATGTTTTAAATGATATTAATCCGATTGCTGTTAGATTTAAGTGATGATTTAGATTTATTCTCGGTATGAAAGAATTTAATTGTGAGAGTAATTTATTGTAAGTTAAAGAATCGAATTGTAAATTAAAGAGTTGTAAGTTAAAGAATTGTAAGAAAACGTATCAAGAAAGGATTGTATAAAATGGGTTATGTATAATAGAAACTATTACTTTATTACTTTATCTATTTTATTTAATTACAAAGTTTATGATCAAATGATTAAATTGAATTTTTTAACAATCTTGATACTTCATAATCTACTATTAAAAAACAATATTTGTTGTTGTTCTAATACTTCTTTCATAATATTTCAATCAAATCACACCAACTCTCTTTGTCTTTGTCTTTGTCTTGAATAAAATCATATACTTGTGTTTCCATTATCAGCTCAATTTCCAAAAAATATGCATAATTGACTTGATTTTCAGAGCAAACATAATACTTAGCCATTTCTTTAACCTCCACTTGACTAAGGATTGAATTTTGAATTTCTTCCTTTATTTTATCCCATCCCATTCTAAAGGATTATTAAATCCTCCAAGAATTTCATCTGTATCTGCAACTTTTAAAATTGTTACTGTATTAGAATGACCATGACAAATGTTCCAAAAACTTTTGGATCAAATTCATCTTTGCTACCTCGTAATATTAATTAAAATTCATATAGGATATTGTTTAAAGGATAAGTTGTTTACGATAAATCCATGATCCATGAAGAGATATCTGCTGCATGTGCATTTGTAATAATAGTTTTGTAAAGTAGTTTTCAATACCATGAAATCTTCATTATCTTATCTGTAAATCATCTCTTTTAATAATTGATACCAAAGCTGATTCGTGAAGAGAATTTAAAAATTCTCCGCATCAAAATAATAATGTCAACGCAAAATTTTTCTAATAATTTAAAATTACGTAGCATTATTCTTTTGTTAAAGATTTGCAATAAACTAAAGAAAAGTGTGATAAATTTTGTTTCGGTATTTATGAAAAATGTATATACAGTATATAAAATAAATTATCATTTGATATATCGTGACTTTAAAGTATAATATTAATACTTTCAGCGGGTTTAGAAATTATTTTAATACAATTTTCATTATGAGGAATATTAGCTAATTCATTATTGAAATAGAATGAACGAAATCGTAGTATTGCCGAGTGAAAGTAATCTTCTTTATCATCCTTTATCATCCAAGAATGCTTTAAAAGTCATTTTTATAATAAAGATTTTTGAAAATCAAGATTATGACTTGTCGATCAACAATCATATCATAAAGAATTAAAAATAATAAAAAAGTAATAAGAAGAATTACAAAATCAATAAATTATACTAATAATTCAACATAGCGAATTTCTTTTTTTCTTTATATACATATAATTAGTTAGTTTTGATCCATTATAATTTTATTATTTATAAATGCTGTGAGAAATATATTTAAAAAATTTTGACATATTTGAGGAGAAAAGCCTGAAAAAATTAAATCCTGACTGGACTGGTTGTTTACTGGATTATAGTTGGATTATAGTAGAGAATGATGATCAGATCATTAACACAAATAATCTCTCAGTTTTGAAAAGTGTTATAAATTTTATAATAATAATAATATTGTTAAAATTGTATTAAAAACATAACTAAATTTTATGCTTATTTTGGGGTATTAGCAGCATACAAAAGTTTAATTTGCTCTTCATATTTCTTTTTAATTTCTATTCGCACAATTTTATTTGCTGCTGTCAAAAGACCCTATAATAATGATAATAATTAATATTAATTAATATTAAAAATTTATAATTTCAGATTTCATTCTAATTATAATTCCTTACATTTTCGGGAGTCCATTCATCGGGTAATAAAATAATATCTGCCAAAAATTCTACTGGTTTGAAATTCGCTCGTTTCCCTTGTTCATTGCATGCTGTCAAAATCGCTTTCTTAATTTCTGCATTCTTACATAACTCTTCAAATCCTCCTTCTATTCTCATATCTTTGGCTAAATCCAAAACTCTTGCTTCTACTGGCAAGATTGCTGCCACAGGACGGGCTTGAAAAGAATCGGCAAATATACAAACATTTCCTACAAACATTGTAGATTTATAAACTGACTCAAGTTTTTCTATTGCAATATATTCACCGTGAGCCATTTTCACTAAATTCTTTTTACGATCTATTATAGACACTGATCCACTTTTAAGGAATTCACCAATATCCCCAGTTTTAAACCATCCATCTTCAGTAAATGACTCTTTGGTTAGTTTCTCATTTTTATAGTAACCCGGAGAAACTGGCCCACCTCTTAGCCATATTTCACCTTGAGGATTAGGTTTATTGGATGAAAGATAACCAGATTCAGGAGCATCGACTAATTTCATTTCTATAGATGGTAAAAGTGAACCGATTATTCCCCAAGTGTCCCTACTAATTTCTGATGGAGGCAACAAAGTAGCAGAACTACAAATAAAAATAATATAATTTATTATTTTAAATAATTTAATTTAATCTATTTACTTGATGTATAAATAATAAATTATAATATGTAATTACCTGCTAGTTTCGGTCAAACCGTAACCAACCATCATAGGACACAAAACAGTTGATAGAAATTCGTGAGTTTCGGTAAATATTGGTGCACCACCAGAAAATATTAATCTTAATCGTCCACCGAATTGTTGTTTAACTTTTTTAAAAATTAACATATCAAAAATTCCTGCAGGCAATCCATAATTTTTCATGAATTTTTTGGCATTAAATGCTCCATAGAACATTCTTTGTTTTGGCATGCTGGCAGCATTAATTTTTGTTAAGATATCTGTCATTCGATGCGAAAAGAAAACTATGTAAATTAAACTAATATATAAATAAATCAAATTTAAGAATTTTTTTTTTTTACTCACCTTTCTTAATCATCTCAAAAACTGCGGGAACTCCTCCCATGATGGAGGGTTTAAGTTCTTGGATATCACCCAAACAATTACGTACAGAAGCAGTGGATAACGTTTTAGGAGTTCCGTAGCCTATAGTCATACCCAAGTACATAAAAGCATTTTCGATGACAAATTCTAAAATGTGGGCGAATGGTAAATATGCTAAATATGTGTCATCAGGAACGACGAACGGTCCAAATTTCACTTTTGCTCCTGCGACTGTTATAGGTGAATTCATTGGGATGTTAACGAATATATTTGATATCATTGAAATATCTTTGAAGAAAATATCATTGATTATTCAAAACTTACTTGCAGAAACAACATTCGCGTGAGTAATTTTAACACCTTTTGGTCTTCCCGTACTTCCTGAGGTATACATAATACAACACAAATCTTGTGATTTTGGAGGATTATCTTCCAATGGATTCTCTTTTCCCAATTGTTTAAGTTCTTCCAAGGTGATTAACTTTATTTCTGGATGAGCATCTGTAAATTTCTTCAAGTCACTTTCTTCAAGATCACCATCGTAGATCACGTGTTCAAGGCTATGAATGTCACCCGCAACCTTTTTTAAAGTGGGAAGAAGGCTGGAATGGGTGAAAATTGCCTTAACTTCAGTTTCATTCATAGAAAAAATAATGTTTTCTTCTCCTAATGTATCGTAAGCAGTTGTAATGGTAATGCTTTGTGTATAACAACCTAATAAAGAAATAAATACAATTAAAAAATTAAGAATAAGGAAAAGTATCATATCTATGATATTTATATATATACCGACCATGAGATACGAGCATCCAATTAATACTAAATAAATAAAAGAAAAAAGGTTAAATTTAGAATTCTATAAAATAATATCCATTTGGAAAATGAAAATGAAATAAAAAAGTATTTTACTTTGTGAAAGTGTAAAGCGCAAGTTTGGCATTCTTATTCAAGCCTAATTTTACCAAACCCGCTCCAATATTTTTTACAATTTCATTTGCTTGTGAAAAATTCAAATATTCATAACCAGACAATTGAAAATATTTCCAAGTTTTCTTTTCTTTAATCGATTCACCACCCACTATCTTTGTTACTTCTTTTTCTTCTTCAATTATTTTATCAATTTTTCGAAAACCAAAAGCATTTTTAGTTTTAGAAGTCCTCACACAATCTTGGAATACATCATAGAGTGTATGAATATCATTAGAAGGTTCTGTAACAAGTTTATCAGGTGAAAGAACCGAACGGTGAACTTGAGTTTCGCCGTCAATTTTAGGACCAATTGGGACACTAGTTAACATGATAATAAATAAATTTGATTAAAAAAAATTTTTTTACTTCATGACATGATTCATGATTTATATAGGAAAAATAAAAATTTTATTTTAATACTCACGGGCGCATATTTGTCTCACAAAATTTATCGTCCTTGCATTGATAATATTTGCATTTCGACCAAATTGGTTTTAGAGGCTAAAGAATAATTTTAAATAGGCACGTCGTGCCACGCGAAATTTATAAAATAGCATTTGATTGTACTTCTTTATTTACAACTTATCTGGGGGGTTTTTTTTAATTAGTTAAACTCCTGTAGATAGAACATTCTATTTCAAATGTTAACATTGCCACAGTTTTTTTTTTACAGCCTATTAAGGAAGATCATGGTTTTCTTGGTTATTTATTCGAAAGAATAAAGAGAAAATTCTATAATAACCATATTACAGTTTCAAACATCCAAATCCTATTTTCCCAAACAACAAATTTCTTGCCCCAATATTACCATTTTTTTAAAATCATTTCCTAAATAAAAGATTCATATAAATTAACTATTTTTGTATGACAAACAAAATATTAAATTTATTAATTTTATAAATAAAAAAAATGCTTATGTAATACATCAATAATAGGCATACTGAGCATTGCTAAATATAACTACTATGTATCACTATCTCCATTTATATGAAGAAGTATGAAAAATTGAAAAGTATTGTATCAAATAGTTTGCTTAAGATAATCAAATTCTCCTTGGATTCTTTTGGTTAAAGTAAATTTTTAGTTAAAATGTATTAAGTTTAAATGAATTTATTAACTATTAAGAATATTAAAATTTAAAAATTTTGTTTATTCAAATATTTCTTGTTCTTTAAAAGAAACAATTTAATAAGTTTATTAAAATAATTATCAAAATAAAAGAATATATATTGTAACTTAAATTAGATATTCAATTTTGTTTAAATTATATCATATAAATAATATTAATGAGATAAGTCATATGATATGTACTGCAAATAAGAATTATCTTACCTAATGAATTGAATCAAAATTATATTATACAAGTTACTTAATTTGAACTTCAGAATTTAGAATTTTATCTTAAACTGAAGATTTAGAATTTTATTTTAAATCTTTTTATTGTTTATAATATTTATATAAACTGATTTGACTTCATTTAATTTTTACAGGTCAAATATAAAAGAATTGCTATACTAAAAAGGAATTTCAATTTTAGCTAATTTATAATATAAGATATAATAAGACAAGCAATTTTTACTTATTTTAGCTAATCTATAATATAGGAATTATCATTTAGTACAATAATTCTTTTATATTTGACTAGTGTATTAAAAATTAAATAAAAATATTCTACAATACTATATAAATATTATTTTATAGTATTATTCAAATGGCACTATCACCAGTAGTTCTTGATTCCCTTGAAAAAAAACCAATAATATAACTTAATGAAGATGAATTTATCAGAAATAATATAATTATATTATTTCCAGTTAATCTAGGTTATTCTAGATTATCGATGATGTATGGATCACAATACTCAAGTCATCCAAGTGATAGGTCAATTACAAAACTCAAGTTATTAGTTGACCACTTATATTAATTTTGTGTATTACTTTAATGTTTTCAATTGATTTTCTTTAGAATTGAGTGTTGTGTTAGATTATGATGTAGTAATCAGAGTATATGCTATTGAATATATTGTATACATGTTATTGGATATATTGCAAATACGTTATCAAGTATATTGTTAGCTTATTTCTTTCTCTTATTTTTATTTTTATTTCATTATTCTTTATATGTATTATCATCTATATATTATATA